CCCCTTGTCCTATCATCTGTAACTTGGGAGAAGAGACCGACCCCCGTCTCTCTACAGCTTCCTTTCAGGTGCTTGTACAGAGCGATAAGGTCTCCCCTCAGTCTCCTCTTCCCCAGACTGAACAACCCCAGCTCCCTCAGCCTCTCCTCGTAAGACTTGTGCTCCAGACCCCTCACCAGCTTCGTTGCCCTTCTCTGGACCTGCTCCAGCACCTCAATGTCCCTCTTGTGGTAGGGGGCCCAAAACTGGACACAGTACTCGAGGTGAGGCCTCACCAGTGCCGAGTACAGGGGGATGATCACTTCTCGGGCCCTACTCGCCACACTGTTCCTGACACAGGCCAGGATGCTGTTGGCCTTCTTGGCCACCTGGGCACACTGCTGGCTCATGTTCAGCCGACAGTCGACCAACACTCCCAGGTCCTTTTCTGCCAGGCAGCTCTCCAGCCACTCTGCCCCCAGCCTGTAGCGCTGCATGGGGTTGTTGTGTTCATGTAGCCAGCAGGTAACTTTATTAAATGTACATTATGCTACAAGGACTGTAAAAACAGGAGAGAGATCTTTTTCAAGGGAACAGTTTGTAGCTAAAGCAGAGGTCTCTCTGTATTCAGGAAGATCAGCCCTGCCTTTGCTATTAATGGGCTGTAAATTGCATGCTAACTATGCCAGGCTCCAGCCCCAGATGTTTAAGCCAGTTCTTAGAACCTGGAGTGTGAACAGGAGCTTGGTGCCACAGGTCTCCTGCTACCATGTGGAGTTCAATCACAGAACAGCAGGAAAAGCCTTGAAAACAGGGACACACGTTGAACACAAAAGCCCCTGGAACACAAGCAGTTCACTGAGGAAGAAGGCATTGAAGACACGCAACCTTAAGAGCTAGGAAAAATCTGCTTTTGCATTAAGAAAGAACCAAACGGGCAAGCAACAGGCATCCGCCATGATCGGGAAAAGTAGTGCCTCTCCAGGTACCACACAGCATATGATCCAGGGAAGAGGTGAAGGGGTGGGAGCTGTCCAGAAACACCTTATAGAAGGACAAGTGCCTTCATCTGAGGGAAGAAGATGTCCGTTTCAGTTCCTGCTTTCCATATTTAAGCGCTCTTGAGCCTGCTCGCTTTGACTTCTGTGACCCAGATCATCAAGGACAGCGGCTATTAGTGCCAACTACACATCACCACCACGCAATGGTAGTCTAACCTCACAGCTCACGTAGGGTATGACTGTTAAGGACTGAGCACTTTGAATACATAACAAGTAGCAGATTGGAAAACAAACCATTAGCATGAAGTGTGTTGTCAATGAAAGTTGGTCTAGTAAAGTTTTGGTTTAAAGATTAAAACTGGCTTGATATCCCAGCCTTCTAAGTACTAGTCACAGCAAGGGTTACTTCCCTCCCTCGCACACCACTTGAAACACAGCAGCTGAGCTGGTACTGGTGAGCACTTCACAAGGAGAGGGGCTTGGTCCATCTGCTACAAGGGAGCGTACATCTGGTGAGGCCTGGGAAAGCTTCCTTCAAAACAGTATCTTCCTCCAGTATAGGTCGCATTTGTTTAACACTTTCCCGAGCAGCTTTAGCCTAAGGAGCTGATAACCTGGAATATACAACTGCAGTTAATTTGAGTACAGCAATCAGCTGTTCAATCAATATTGGGAATGGTTCTCCTAGAAGAACATCATTGTTGGGTAGAGTCATTGATCAGAACTGCTAAACTAGTTATCACTAGCCTTTGCTTTACAGTAAGTGTGGATATTGATTTCATTCAGCATCTGTATGTCTTATGAAAGCAAGTGCACCTTTTAGGCCTTGTCTCCAGCTATAGAGTAACTTCCTCTTTATGCATATGTATCATTAAGATTTCAAGACACCTGCTTCTCATTGCTAGGATGAGAAGACAGACATAGCAGACATTAATCATAACTGGATGCAGCATCAGAAAGTGCTCAAACACTTCACTAACAGTCACAAAATCAAAATACGTGTACCTGCACCTAAGAATTCTTAATGCCTTTTGATTCCCAGAGCACACTGCAGTTGAGTTAATGAGCTCAGTTACTATGCATAAAAAATTTCTAACACCTTGCCAGCTGAGACCAGTTTTCCAAAAAACAACTAAGTGTGGATATTTATACAATAATGATACTTTTAACATTACTGTTATTTAATAACTAGAAACATGCCTCTTTCCCCAAAGCACCACTTCGTAAGTAGCCTTAAGAGATCAGTGTTTAGAAGAGCTACAAAGCTGTAAAGAACTCAAGACTCCCTTGTGCATCACACTGTGATATGTCACTGTCCGCATCAGTTCCTGTGCCTTTCCAATCTGTAACAGGCAAGAAATTGAAACTGCATTAAATGCCCTTAGCCATCTAAGGTGTCCTACCGGCCACTTAAACTGTCCAATACCACAAAGGCATGTTTAAAAGGCACTTGACCAAAACAAGTTATTTGCTGAGAACTTCAAGTCAACAAACTTCTGGAAACCACATAAATTCATGTACCTAATTTGATTATAGACATCATAAAGAGATTTATAAAGGGAATAAAAGAGATTTATAAAGGGAATAAAAGAGATTTATAAAGGGAATAAAACTTGACACAAAGAGGTATTAGGAAAAAAACTTGACCTTCTCTACAGTTTTCATTTTTTTTCTCTTCATAAAGGTGTATCATCCTGAAAACTCAAAAATGACACAGAACAAGTCAATAAACCTTTAAGATATAAATGGGCTTTGTGAAGAGTAATACAGTATGCACAAGATCAAAGGTTTCCTGCTCCAATTAAAAGCTGATTTCCAAATAAATGTTTACCTGTAAAGTTCTGGGCTAACCCTTCAGGGCTAAACAGCTTATTTTTGAAGAAACCA